TGAGTACTATATATATATATTTATATAATCATGTTTTAACACGTAACTACGAATGTTATGAGTACCGTAGATTGAGAACCACTGATCTATAAAATAAAAAATAACAAACACTGAACTTAACTCGAGCTTTCTGCACTAAGTAATAAATGAAAAACAAAAACAACTTAAAGCAATGTAAAGTCTAAAGAAGTTTTGCATATTTACGTATTTTCGAAGTTACTGTGGGTTAGATGTTATTTTTTTGTCTTAATTAGGAGTTTTGTATTTTTAATTTAACAGTACTTTATGCAACACACACATAGGCTAAACGCCCAGTTGAATGACTAGAATGGCCGTCCATAATTTAGACATGCTGACGGAAAACAGCCAATCAGCAGCATCCTTTTAACCGAATAGCTGGATTGACTGAAACGTTTATAAAACTTCTACTGCTGGAAGCGTGGAGCATGTTCAGCAGAAAATCGCGAGGTTGAACGCTGAACAGTATGCAGCCCGGCATTGCAACTGCAAGGCCTCTTAGTTTCATAGCTGTAGAAGTCAATTGTAGTATAAAGCACATATTAAATAGGGTACTTAAATGGAAGTTTGACTTTCTGGTTAAAGTACGTGACAGACATAACTGAGTGGACATGTATGGAAATGCTTATGCAATTCGCTCTCACTTGTTGCGTAAACCTTGCTCATATTTCACCTCTGCTTGATGACGTAGTGAGCTTGCCAGCTTACAAAAGCTGTGTAGGCTGTATTGAAAAGCAGCGTCATTGTCAATACGAAACTTGTTTAATGTGGAAAAAACGCTTTTAAAGATTAAATTTTACGTCGTGTCAATTTGCACTTGTAAGCACTCAATGATGTTTTTTTTTGGTGTGTTTGTGTGTGTGTGTGTGCAAAGACAACAACGTATACTTGTTATCGCAGCGCTATCACTTTAATTAACGGAATGAAGCTTACCTATTTCATTTCCCAGGTGAATGTGTGTTTTTGACACCTAATAATTATAACCAAGATAAGTTTTATAACCAATAAAGTGAAAGCTATATTTTATTTGTTACTCGTTTAGGTAAGGTATGCAATAAGAAATTGCAATTGAAAAAATAAATAAAAGTATGTATAGCACTAGGTGAAAACTTATTTATGTTGCGATAAAATCTTGGAACTTAGTACACACTGTACTAAAGATATATTCATCAAATCAAGATATGACGACATAAAAAAATTCACTACCGATTTTAAATAAGATTGTCTCTAGTTATCTATATCGATGAAAGCATTTCCATGTAAAAACAACCAAGTCAGAATACACACTGGGCTATCTGTACTCTGCCTACCACGGGTATCGAAACCCGATTTCTAGCGTTGTAAGTCCGCAGACATACTAGCCATATAAAGATGTGATATCTCAACAAAAGACCCAAGGTACTAAAAATTCGAAGCTCCGTAAACATGTGATTTACAAAAGAAGAGCCAAGTTATATAAACATGTAAAGATGTAATGCTAAATTGACTACATTAAATAAGATAAAATTGATGCAAACTTGGCTCCTCCTGTTTTATTTATGTTGCTGCTAGTTCCTTGCACAATGAAAAAGAAGAGTTACGTTTGCCTCAAATTAGAATTATTTTAGTGTGTGTATGTTTTAATTTAATTAAAGAAATTTGAAAACACGATTAAACATATTGTTTAATAAATAATGCTAACATCTTTTAGACAATATTGTTAGTATTCTTAACAAATGTACAGGGTTATGAAACAAAAACATATTTTTACAACGTATTAATCACATCAATATGATAGAGTGTTTAAACCAGTCGCATTCCTCTAGTTCAATTTAAGCTGTTTGCTCGTTGTTTGAAAAAACTTTTTTTCGATACCTTCACAAACATTGAACACCGATATGTCAGTTTGAGTAGGCAATGCATTTAGTTCATGAACCTTTAATCGATTTTCTACAAAAGTCTTGTATCCCTTAGAAAAAGTTATCTGTTTTTGAAGTACTGGACACTGAAGAATTCTGAAGTCTCTTCTAAGCAAATAACGTATTTTTAGAAACTAATGCGCTTCAATTTGGAGATGGTTTAGCCTCGGTTTTTGCAAGCAAATACCTTGTTGACATTTTGCAAAAGTTAATAAGCCTTTCGATTATATATTATCTAATTTCCTTATTTGACAAAAGTTTGGATGTGTCCATTTATAACTTGACCAGTTGTCACCAAACTTGGCATGTACCGTTAGGTGCCCCAGACATAATATGGGGGTGAGCATTTAGAACTGACTCCCCATGCCACCTTAAAGGGGGCCCTATATCTTTCTCGTGTGTTGAACAGGTATGTCAGATAGTTAATACTACTTTTTTAGTTTTTATGGTGACATAATTATAACACTATATTGTTAATCAATATGACTATGTACAACTGTTCATGAAATCTCATTAATGCAGAATTTCTTTTGGTTTTTGCTTCCTTATTGATCACTTAATTTGAAAATATAAAGAAAAGATGCTAAATGTATTCATGTATTTTACCTAAAATGGTAAATTCTGTATCCTTCTGCTACACTGTAAAATCTCTCTCGTGGTTAGGGCGCTCGACTCGCAGTCTCCAGGTCGTGACTTCGAATCCCAATCACTTTGGACCTTATAATGCAGCTTTGGGGCGTTATAATGTGTCGGTCAGTCCCACTATTCGTTGATAAAAGAGAAACCCAAGAGTTGGCGGTGGGTGTTGTTGACTAGCTGCCTTCCGTTTAGTCTATCACTGCTAAATTAGGGACGGTAGCGCAGATAATCCTCGTGTATTTTTGCCTGAAGTTCAAAACAAACAAGCAAAATATCTGGTGTTCTATTCAGGCAGGATGTAAGTCATCTAGAAAACATAAATTATTCAAAGAAAAATTATTTATGCAATTTAAAGTGAAAATTCTACATTTCCGGTGGCTATCTTAGACTTCACAGGAAATGTGATTTGACGACGTCTCCACATGTAAAATTGGTGTTATGGTTGTAAGGATTATTCATGCCAAGTTGCAGAGTGTTATCGCCAGGAGAATAAACTTTACAAAATCATTACACAAACCATTGTGCTATCGCAGTTTTGTGTGATTATGGATTTCTAATTAGCATAACACGGTTTTCTGCTTCAAAACCTCATTTTTCAATCTTTTTTGAAGTATTGTTTCCATCTGTTTTTCCTTAAACAAATAACATTTGAAACAAAAATAAAATTCGATAAAGATTTAAGTCTTTTGCCAAAATACAAGCACGTTGGTGACAAAATGAAAAGTAAATGCAAGATTTCATTTAGAACTTTAGGTAAGGGTGTATGCGAACTATTTTGAACATTCATTTATTTATGTTATTGATATTCAACACTACGCATTCCTTTGAAGGACTTAAAACACTGAGAAAAAGAAATAAATTTAGTTAAAGTTTCCCTAGATATAATTATATATTTACAATATTTTCTTTTTTTTTAATAATTATAAAAGTAGTGAGGAAAGAGAGAATAAAACGTAAATGTTACGCGAATGCCACCCTTTTATTGAGTGAAAATTAACTGCACCAGAGTACAGTCCTGTGTTGATAGTTTACACTGTGAATGGTAATCATCCAGTCAATCAGAAAGTGACACACCAGTATAAAGCCTATAAAAGTACAGACAGTGATACTGGGCCCAGTGGTAATAGCGTGGCTTCCAGTTATGGTTCCCAGGCTGAAATATCACATTTGTTTATTTGTCTGGCTGACTACTTGGTTGGTTGTTGTTAAACGCAAAGCTTCACAATTAGTTATCTGTGTCCTGTCCACCATAGGTATCGAAAACCCGAAATATATTGTTGTAAGCCCGTAGACTTACTGCTGAGACAATTTAGGGCGAAATACCACGTGACAAGCATGTAGAAATCAGCATTTTGGCTGGTCAAAGATATTCCAAGCGAAAAATTGCAGCGATACTCCATGTTTGAGTACGAACTATATGCAAGACTCTGAAGAGCTGCGTGAAACTGGTATGTAAATAATAGATGTGGTCAAGGTAAAAAAACCTAAACTCCCTCTAACAGTGATTTTAAGTATTTCAAGGTATATTATTAATGAGATAGATGATGGCCTTGGTGTAAAACAGGTGTGAACCATAAGGTGCATATTAGTATGAACTTGTTTTAATGGATGGTCGCTGCTCGAACTCGTCTACTGATAAGAGGAAACCAACCATAAATGTTGAAATGAGCATCTTATCATAAACATGGAATGATGAGCTAAGCTGAAAATTGTGTGCTCTTTACAGATAAATCCAAGTAAGGTCAGGAAACAATGCTGCGGAAAGAATAATGGAATCATACTTAATTTACAACATATACAGCGAAGGATGGGGAGAGATCAGAACAAATTTGGGACTGCAATTCATTCAACGGCGCTGTCGATAATCTACACAAAACTGATGGAACCCTGACTGCTGATAGGTTCATGCAGATTCTGATCCATCATGCCATTCCCTCGAGAACGCGACTCATCAGGAAGGAATTCATCATCCAACAAGACAATCATCCAAAACATTCAGTAAACGCAGTAAAACAATAATATGACGGTAAAGAGGCCAACGTAACCCTCACAACCGTGGCTTGGCCTGCACAAAAGTCCCGATATTAACATTCTTGAAGATGTATGGGATTATGTAAAAGTCAAGAAATTCAAAAGGCGATCAGACAACTTGGCTGTATTGTGGGGAATAATACGGGACACTTGGAACAATATTCCTCAATTGTACTTTGATAAATTGTATGACATCGTGAAAACAAGATATTTATTGTACAACTTATTACCTTTTCTTTTATATTTTCAATGATAATGTTTAGGACCATTAATAAATTGAATATGGACCTACCATTACTCGCTATTTCCGACTCCTGTATGTGTACCACTTGCATGTTTCCATGGTTAAATATATATATATAAACTTCGAGAAAAAAAGTTAGTCTGAAGTTTGTATTTTACTGTTATTTCTAGGTTTACACCCCCACCGGTTTCGAACGGTATACAGCGATGTACAAGGTTGGAGACTGTTCAATAAATTACACAGTATGGGACACATCAGGTAAGCATAGATTTTCTGTCTACACTATGATAAATAGAAAAGTGAAACAGTTGAAAAGAAAAAAATGTTTAGCTCAAGAAAAAGAAAAACATGATGAAAGAGAACTCACAATCATACAACAAATAGAAAATGAAGACTATAAAAAGTACATGGGATTAAAAAGATGAGTATGTTAACGATATACATATACAAGACGAATACCTCTAAGTTTCAAGCAAGTTTAAGCTGTTTTAGAACTCACAAAATTAAAATACTATTCAAAAAGCTCACCAAAATATAGTACTAAGCATTCAGTATAGTTATATCAATACACATTCATTATATTTACTGTCAATAAACAAAACACTAAGCTCTCAGCATAGTCATGCTTCAAGCTAAATTTATATATATTCCAGTATGGGCAAATGTAAGACTAAACAATGATAATAATCATGCACCCAGACATATTTTTATGGACTTAGCATGGACAAAAACAAACAAACACTTAGTACTAAGTTTTCATACTCGGCAATAACAAAATAAACACTTCAGTACTAAGTTGTCATACTCGGCAATAACAAAATAAACAGTAATTACTGTCATGCACCAAGACATGTATATTTATTGTGATAAGAGGGAGCTAGTGAACAAAATAAAACTTAGGAAAACATTCAATGATGCAGTTACATCCGTCAAAAAATATCAAATGCCAAAATGAATCGTAACAATATAAATATATCTTATTTTGCTGATGCAATTTATTGCCGTTGCCACTTTACTCAAAAACTTATTAAGCATTTGAGTTTTTTGAGGAGTGTAGAAAATGTATCAATCAATTTATCGTGAAGTGTATAGTTATATAGATCTGAACTATGTTTTTCCTTGTTTGTTTGTTGTTGTTGTTTTTTGTCTTACCAGAAGATTGCACTAACAAACCGATACAACACTGTCCATCAACAAATCACACGCGCACACAAATATAAAATAACACTGATGTATAAATTACACAGGCCTGCAAATTTAAACTTCATGGAAGTTGTTTCAGTTTTAATAACGCATTTTCATAATTCAGCTACGCAGATTTCGAAAATAATATTCATTCTTACTTAGGTCAAATTATTGATTCGTTTACCACAATGAACAGTTGTTATTATTATTATGTTTGTTAACAAAAATACAAACAATCTGAAGAATTTGATGTCAAACGAATATGCATCATTATTTATTCCTGATTTCTTTTGTGAAATCTACGTCTTTTAGTCTCAAAACTAACATGTTGTGGTCTTTCTTTATGTATTGAGTCTAGAGCATCTCCCTTCAATGACTAAGAGTAATCAGCCATCATGCTGATGTTCCACCTTCCCTGATACCTCCTCTCCATTTCACTGATAACTTGATGAAACCTTTCCCCTTGTTCTTCGCTTACGGCACTGAGACTTTCAGGGAAATAGTCAATATGTGAGGATAAGAAATGAACTTTCAAACTCGTATTACAACCTAATTCTTTGAATTTATCGTGCATGCTATTGACAGTACTTTCGTAATTTGGGTCCTTGTTGTGTCCTAAAAAATTGTCAGTAATATCTTTAAAGGCAATCCACGCTTCTTTTTCAACTTTCCTCATTGTTCTTTCGAACTGTTCATCCGAAGTCAGTTTCCTAATCTGAAGCCCAACAAAAATCACTTCTTTAAGTTTTTGCTTCTGAAAGACCTGGGAATTGCCCACATAGATACTTGAAACAGTCGTCATCTTTGTCTAAGGCCTTTACAAACGGCTTCATCGAGCCCAGTTTTATGTGAAGTGGAAGTAATAGAACTTTATTTATGTGAACCAAACTTTCATGTTCAATATTTTTCGATCTTGGTATCAGACTGACTCTGCGTGTCTTTTGCTTCTTTATCCAGTGCTTATTTCGTGCTCTGCTCTCCCATTCACACAAAAAAGATGGATACTTTGTATAACGGGATTGTTGACCCAACAACATACAAAGGACCTTTAAGTCTCCACAAAGTAGCCTGTTCTTTGTATTTGACCTTATTAAGAAGAAGTTCGAAATTTTCGTACGTTTCCTTCAAGTGAACCAAATGAGCAATAGGAACAGATGTATATATGTTACCATTGTGAAGGAGAACAGCTTTTAGACTTCTTTTGGGGGAATCAATGAACAATCGCCACTCACTTGGTTCGTAGACTGCAGCTCCTAGCATTGGTATTAATTCAGCAATATTGTTGCAATAAACCAGTGAACCTTCTTGCAAAAGTATTGTATCAACTCTTTCTCACGATTTCTGTATCAGTAATACCAGTAAAATGATGTATCTAGAGAAAGTAAGTTCTTTGCCCGAAGTCTGGATCCCAAAATCTCTCAAGAATCTTTTGGGAGGCCCAAATCTCTCGCCAAATCCAGAAATGACACGTCGTGCGGCCTGTTAACCATTCATATACTAGCGGTGTGTTTCTCGTGGGTTCTAGAACGATAGATAAGACTCTCACGTCGCGATTGGTCTAGAGAAATCTATAGCCAGTGGTTGTCAACATTTTAAGCATAAAAAAATTTGACCCGATTTCAATGAAAATGATTCACTTGTGTAAAAGTACATATGACGTTTTGTGAAAAAAATCTGTACTCGATGAAGAAAAATGGATATCATTTTCGGATTTAGCGTATAGGAATTACCGTAGAACATGTAAAAATTTCAAAACATTAAAACTATCGCAGACCTGTGTTATTATTTTTAAACAGGTTATGGGAAATATTTGAAATATTTATTTTCTATGAGGGGATGAAATACAATGACATATTTTAGTCTAATATTATGAAGTTTGAATAAACCAGGCGTTGCTAAGAAAGCTATAGTTAGATTTACTTAGTGGCCTATAAGAGTAATAGCTTTACTTAATGGCCTATAAGAGTAATATAACTTTTCTTAAATATCTTATTTAAATAAATTTAAATTATACAACTATATTTCGGCTAGGAAGTATGCCGGTCTTATATCAGACTCTTATAAAGTCTGTTTGTTGGACTTGACCGTAATGCGATTAGAAATTGCATGGTGACGGTATTGTTTTTGGGAAATAACCGCTGTATTGTCGATGTTACAAAATATCAGGTACCAATTATAATACTTAAGCCTTACTTTGACAAAGCTTTTGTCTTCATTTGTTTATCTTTTTACCTACGAAACATTGTTTGATGCCTTATCACATCGAAAACATAATATGAGAAATAATGATTTACTGCTTTTAAAACAGTTTTATAATCCTATGTTGTCTGCAGGATCTTTGAATGTCTGCTGGGAGACATTTTAGATAATATTAGGTGGCTGTGTAATTGCGTGGTGTTTCTTCTTTGTTAGCCTTTCTTCCATTTCTGTTAACTCTCCAATGCAAAACACCCTGAAGGTAACCACTGTTTGTTAGTATTATTTTAGTGTGATTTTTTTTAGCCTGTGTTTCATATTTAATTCATTTCGGAAAGTAGATATCAGATAGATATCATGAGCTATGAGCTATCGTGACTCTATTAAACCGGTCGTAATTTGTATTCTGCGGCTCAAATATGACATTAAAGTTTATTTTGAACTTCCCTCTGTAAGCAACAGATAAAATATAAGCCTATCTTTCATATTCTTAAGCAGTTATAACTCATCCAAGCGATAATAAAGATACTCCATTAGGTTGTAATGATGGGTAAACTGTTCTTGTTTGTAAATAAAGCTATAGAACTCATGAAAATTTTCTTAAATTTTTCCAAAACCCCAATGCCTTATACTGCAGTTCAGCGAGTTTGTACTTAGGCTCCACATCTGTATTCTTTGTGTTCTGTTTTATTTTCTTTGTCATTAGGTTTCAGCTTTTTCAATTAAAGAAGCATTTAAAATTCTGTTTACTTTTATAATTTTGAATATACATTTTGCGTATTATATCTATAGGTGTTAAGTGTTTTACTCTGGAAATCCTTATTCTTTTGAGAGTTATTTAATAAAAACCTGTCCAAAACACGTTAAATTAAATATATGACCACTGATTTGGATAGTTGAAGCGTTCTTTTCTAAACTAACGCCCCAAGTACCTGTGGTGGGCAGAGCACAGATAGCCCATTGTTCAGCTTTGTGCTTAACTTCAAACAATCTAAAGTAACTGTTACGAATTCAAAACTGGCTTATATGTCTTCGAAAAAGGAAACTCATATTGGAAAGTGATGGACTGTAATATAAACTCGTATCCCTTCGTACATATCAATTCAATTTCACGCATGTATTTTATCAGGTCAATACCCCCCTTCGTACATATACAGTCAATTCCACACATGTATTTTATCAGGTCAATACCCCTTCATACATATCAATTCAATTTCCCACATGTATTTTATCAGGTCAATACCCCTTCGTACATATCAATTCAATTTCACACATGTATTTTATTAGGTCAATACCCCTTCGTACATATACAGTCAATTCCACACATGTATTTTATCAGGTCATTACCCCTTCGTACATATCAATTCAATTTCACACATGTATTTTATCAGGTCAATACCCCTTCGTACATATACAGTCAATTCCACACATGTATTTTATCGCATTATTTGATTTATATTTCCTTAGAAATTTGGTAGTAAAGTTTGTTTAAACGCATAGCCAAACATGGGCAATTTACGTTGTACTTGCACCTACCGCAATGATCGAACCTCGAATTTTAGCGTTATTAGCCAAAGAGCTTATCGCTGAGCCAAAGGCGGGAGGGGAGGAGGCTTGTCAGTAAGGATCGGACTTGCGAATAATTTAATTTTTAAGTTAAGTGACCGTTTACAAGTTGAACTAACCTGATTGATTTTTGCCTCATTTTATGAATGAATAAACACTCTTTCATAAGAAGCTATGTTCATCTTTGGCCCTTCTTAAGATCATAAAATAATTTGAATAGCCGTCACACTCAGCTAGTACGTGGTCCAATACAGTTGATCTATTTAACGTTCTCTCACTGTGTTAGTAGTTTTCTTGTCGTTTAACCGATA